GCTGTCGCAGTGCCAGGCTCTGCGGGCCGTGCGCATGAGGCAGTGCTACCGCCTCACAGACGTGCGGTGCCTGGGCGCCCTGCCGCTGCTGCAGGAGCTTGACCTCTCGGACTGCCCCGTCACCAACGACAGCGTCGCGGCGCTGCGGAACGCGCGGTGCTTGCGCAAGTTGCGCCTGCAGTCATGCCGCGCCGTGACGGACGTGAATTTCCTCAGCGGCCTCGAGCAGCTCGCCGAGCTCGACCTGCACCACACGAACATTGACGAGGCAGGCTCCGTCGGACTCGTGCACTGCGCGCAGCTGACGTCGCTCATACTGCATTCCGTGCGTGTGCACTCACTGCGACAATGGAACGCCGCGGCGTTTTTGCCGCGGCTCAAGCGGCTCGACCTCAGCAACACTGCCGTCACATCTGATGCTCTCTCATTCGTGGCGTTTTGCCCGCTGCTTGAGACACTGACGCTGCGCGGCTGTAAGAGTATCACCACGGTGGACTTTCTTCTGTTGTACAGATCGCCCGGAGGCGGGCGACGCACAAGATGTGGTGACGGCAACATCAGCACCAGGAACACCAGCAGAGAAGTTGAGCCTCACGTCGCGCTCGCCACTGTGACGATTGCTGTTGCTGCTATTGCATCAGCAGCAGACGACGACACACTTCCGCTTTTATCGTCACCACCAGATTTGGAGAATCGACACTGCTTGGTGGAGCTCACACTGAGTGACACTGCTGTGACGAACAATGGCCTGCGGGCGCTGAAGTATTGTCCGGGACTGGAGCGACTACGACTGTCCCGCTGCAAAAAAGTCACCGACGTGAATGTGCTCCGCTGGCTTCCGCAACTGAAGGAACTGGATTTGAGCACAACGTCCGTGACAAGCCACGGCCTTGCGAAGTTGTCACCAAAAGGCAATTCACAAGTGCATCGCATGACAGAGGCCGGCGCTGCCGTTTCCGCCGCTACTATTGCTATTACTACCGCGGAGGAAGATGTCACCTCAACCGGCCTCGGCTGCGTGGCGCTAGAGAAACTGTGGCTGCAGTCCTGCCAGGAGGTGCGGAACGTACGTGTGCTGTGTGGCTTTCCGGTGCTGCAAGAGTTGTTCCTCACCGGCACGCCGGTGCCACGGCGGGAGCTGGATATTGCTGTGCTGTACCGCGGCAACCCTATGCTGCAGAAGATACACCACAGCGTCGCCATCACCCTTGCGTGAGGCTCCTTTCTCTCACCCCCCTCTACATAATGCGATTTCTCAGCATTTTCCTGATTCTTTCCCGCTCCCTTTCCTTTGCCTCCGTTTTATCCTCATTCTTCTTGGCCCCGCCATCTGTACATATCACGCCTCTGCGTCGAAGAAAGAAAGAAAAAAAAACAAAAACAAAAGAAGAGGCCCTGACTAGATGAGGATATGTGTATATTATTCGAATACGCAGAGAAGTTCTAATGCCGCTGATGCATCAGCAGCACCAGCGGAGGCAATGAAAAGAGCGACATAGGGGAGCTGTTGCCCCTCCCACGATGTATGTGTTCCCACATGTGTGTGTCTGTGTGGTCATATTGTTTTTTTTTTCGGTTCAATTTACGGTTGTAGCCAGTCCCCATCTTCGATGGGCTCGTGTGATACTGTGGGAGCGGCGGC